TCTCAATTCTTGTTTTCTGATGTTGGGCTCCTATATTAAATTGTTCGTGCTCCGGATTTCCATCCATGGGCATGAGGGGTGTGTGAAGAGTCCCACATCGGTTGTTTAGGGGATGAATGGTCTCTTTAATATGACTTTGACAATCCTCACCTCTTGAGCTAGTTTTTGGGTTTGGGTTAAATTCAAAGTGCATTTTAACAATATTTTTGGGGTATAACAATTCTCAGCACTCATTGTTTGTCTGTTTTGCTGCATTCATCATTTTTTCGGTGTTCTCTATAGTGCTCATATCTATGGATCTCTATATTGTAAGTTGTCAATTTTCAACTGTTAACTCTTCCCAACAGATATGTTGTTGTCAAAGTGCATCGGTCCTGGGATGAATTCCGGGAGTACTTCATGGAACAGGTCTCTTAATACCTCATTCATATAGCTCCAAAACATTTAGATAGCATAGACTAAATTCCTTCTTCTTCCTTTTCTTCAGGCGGGGGAAAAGAGGCTATTGGCATTTACAAAGAGAGGAACAGCTACACATTCAGTAAGTTTAGATGCTTTTTCTACTCATATAGTTCTCTCAGCTTGTAACCTTGGGAAGTTTTTTGGCCAAATGAGACCAATTTATTCCGTCTTGAATTGGAAGAAAACGTAGAAATCCATATTTTGCTGCTTTTTTTTGGTTGATAAAGAGAAATGTTCTTTTTTCTGTCACTGTAAAATCTATAATGTTGGAACAAGGTAGACCTAAAATCATTCAAAGGAAGTTGTCTCGAAGGACCAACAGTTTCTTGAATCTGTGCAGACTTAGTGAAGGATAGGGCACAATGGAAGGAAAAGATTTATTCAGGAGATATCTAGTTGCTGAGGATATATTTCAGTCATGTTAGCACCTTTACATCCTATGCTTTCAAGGAGTTGAGCTTTTTCAGAGGTTTACACATCAGTAGAAAATATGAAGAATTTTTAGTGCCTTTTATTTTATATGATATTAGTATAAGATGAGTTTAAATAGAGTAATATGGTAAGTGAGGATTCATATAGCTGTCCCACCTGACATGTAGTAGTAGCTGTAAAATCTGTAATGTTACGGTAAATGCTGATGCTGCAGATTTTTCTCTAGTTTATCTGAGATAGTCTGTAAAGTACTTGGATGCAAGACTTATTGAAACTAAATTAGTTTAGGCCAATTCTAAATTCTTTTTGGTGAGACCCTACAGATTTGATCAACTACCTCTTGCTGTCTTCAATACTTTCCATCTCTTACCTGTTCTAAGAATTTCAGATGATTTTGAGCATCTCAATTCAGTTGCTTTTAGCTTTACTTTTCCCTTTCTGTTTTTTACTTCTATTCTTCAATTGTGACTCAAACAAGTTTGGAACTGAGTTGTAGTTGATTGGTTGTTGAGCGTTTTACCAGGAACTACTTTATCTGTTCTTTCCATACAAGAAATTGTAGTCTTCTCTTTCATTTCTTTCGTTTTCTTTGGCTTCTGAGGTTGGAGAAGTAGGAGGTGGAAGGCACCACAAATTCTAATATAACTAGGAATAGGTAGACAATGAAACTAATTTGTTTCAAAGAGATCGACTGGGGGGACCAAAAAGTTATGTTTCCATTTTGCTTTCTTGAAAACTGTAAGGAACCTGGCTGAAGTGGAATTCTTCTTGGCTCCAGAAGTACTTTTATTGACAAGCCGAAGACTTTCCTCTAGTTTCTTCAGAGTCTTTTTCCAAGCATTGTTGCTTTTCTCATCTAAGTTTCTCTTGTCTAATGAAACACACTATTGTTAATCAAAGGAACTCGTGCCCGTCCACTCCCTTTCATGATGAAAGCCAGATTAATATAAGCAAACATTTCCTTATAATGCGAATTTGGTGTAATTCTAGTATCATTGATGCAGGACTTCTCCTATAAAAAGGGTGATTGGCTTGTATTTGGATCAGAAACTAAAGGGTTACCTCCTGAAGCCCTGCTTGACTGCAAGAGTGAATCTCTTGGAGGAGGAGCCCTACGGATTCCCATGGTTGAAACATATGTTAGGTGCTTGAATTTATCAGTAAGTGTTGGTATTGCTGTATATGAAGCTTCTCGACAAATAAACTATGAACAACTTCAGTGTCCACCTGACACTTGTATGGATACCGAAACATCATTTGTTACTGAAGATATTTTTGCTTAAACTGCTTCATATTGCACTTCTACAAATCCTATGTGCCTTACACAATGAAGCAGCAAACAGGAAAAGATCAGCATATCTAGATCATAAGGTGTTTATATCTTAGTTATTGAGTTCTCACTCTTCTTGTGTTGCCATTTTCTGCACTTACAATGTCTTTTTTAGATTCAATCCATCATTACTAATACTATATACATTGAAAAATGTCGTTTTCGTTGCTCAAAGGATGAATTAAAATCTCCAGGTTTTGCTAACATAGTGTAGTATAAAATGTGAGAAATGAAAATGGCTAAACAGGATGAGTGTATGAAAAGACCATTCTGGCATCTTCACGGGTATGCTTCTTGACACTTGCATGTGAGGGAGAGGGAAACAAGCTATCTGTTTCTATCAGACAACACAATTTCCATGTTCTCTGCAACAGTGAAAATGAAAGCACCATTCCTAAAAATCCCAAAAATGTGATGTTCTTTGGTCTAAAAATTCTCATTATTTGCATACAATGAAAATGGTTGCATTGCATTGTATTGTATATATAGTAAATATTATCACAAACATTTCAAATCCTTTCTTCCCCTTATTATTGCTTCTTAATAATAGTGTGTGAGTTTGTAAATCAATATATAGGCTCATGTGGCCATCTTATCCAGTGCGTCAACAGTAGATATCATCTGTTTTCAGACTGTTGACGGGAAGGGAATTCTCACCAATAAGATAAAAGTTTAAATGGTCAATCAACTGCTTGTTATCCGAAATTGCTCAGTGATATTTTACCCTTTACTATACTTGTGGTCCGTTTAAATCCTTTACCACAACTAATTAATTTTTGGAAAAATAGTATTATAATATATGTCATATATGAAATAGTACTTATTTTTTTTTGTTTTAATATCTCATTCTTGCATTTAAAAGAAAGTCTCATTTTTTTCCCCTTGATTTCTAATGTAGTTCTCAAATTGAAGAGTAATTCTAAATCATATTTCAAAACTATTTTTCTAAAAAATAATTGGATATGTGATATTCACCCATTTCAAACTAAACTTTTGTTAAGGCAAGGACAAATAAAAAACAAATATATAAAGTGAGACAAAATTGAACAATTTATAATAATATAATAAAAATATTTTTGGACCTTTCCCCCGTCCAAATCAATCACTTAGTACTATGCAGATAACAGTTGGTTACTATATATATACTCAAGCAAACTAAAAATATACTCCAAAGTCATGACTCTGTCTGCTTAAATTATGTACAAAAACAAATAATTTTAGGACAATCTCATGTGGAGCTAGCAAAGCAACAAATTAATGACCCCAAAATCCAGCTCAAATATCTGCATGATTTTCAGGTCAATTATTTTCAACAAATTAAGACTCATTTAATTTCTATTTGGACCCATTCATATGGATGAATTCAAGAATAGTCTTCCTCTGTCGGTGGTTGTACACTTTTAATGCTTTGGTATAACCAAATTTCTTCAAATTAACTTATCATAGTGAGAACTAATGTAGAAATTCGACAGATAATTTGAGATCGAGAAAGTAGTTTTCATCATCTCTTCAATAATTTTATCATTAATTATTAGTAAGAAAAAAGAAAGAAGATGAGGATTCCTTCAAAAATGCAAATGTTGAAAAACAGTGAATCTTTGACAGTTAGCTGAATAAGTCTAAAAGGTAAAAATAAAATAATTGAAGATAGTGCAATAGTTTAATTCTATTGCACATGAGCCAACGTGCCACAATATCTCATATAGTGTGATATAGTCATATATAGATAATTGTTTTTCTCTTTTGTTTAATAGATCAAAACTTTTAAAAAACAATACTTCTAACCAATTTCAGGATTTTCATAAAAAAATATTTAAAATAATTATATGAAGAAAATAAGAAAATTCAATATCAATTTATATATTAAAAAATATCTTATAGAGTACTCATTTTCCGATAGAAAGTATTTGAACTACTTGTTTCCTTAATTGAATTAATTATTTTGTACTTTCTACATAGAAATATATTTGTGTAGTAATTATTTTTTTGCTATTTTTACTTATATAAATAAATGTTAGAGTTTTGATTATTATTAATAAAATTAATTTTCTCATTATGCTAATTAGTTTCTTGTAGTAGGGACCTATTTATTTTGTCAGGAAAAAATAAGCCAACACTTTAAGAAGGAAAATAAAATTTTAAAATAACAGAAAGTGACCAAATAGCAGATCCGAAAAACTTTATAATCATTAGAAATTTGTTTCTAACTCTCTGCAATAAAATACTGACCCCTCACGTGCCCTCTTCTCTACTACGTATATGGACACCTATACTTTTTATTGTATTTTTTTTATTGAGATTGTTGAATATATTCAAACTAAAATGAAGGAAGAAATAAAAATAAATAAATAAGGAGGAGGAAGATAAAATGATTGTAATATGCCAAATCAATTTATATATTTCTTCGGAGAGTAGCATGAATATGTTCTTAAATTACGCAGGAATTATTAATTTTATTTCTAAATTATTAATATTTTTTTATTTAACTAATTAAACTTAAATATATTCTCTGATCTTACAACATGAGAAATGCATTCCTAAATTCTCGTCAAATTTAAGAGCGTTTTCAAGATTGCTTTAACAAGAATTTGGGACCATTGTTATGTCATGTGTAAGAGATTATATCAAATTTAATTAATCAAGTAAAAGAAATATTTTTAAAGCTATTAATAATTCAAAATAAAAATAATAATTCATATCAAATTAAAAAATGCTTGTTAATACATTTCCTATATATAAATATAACCTCTCATCCTCTTCACTACTTCACAGAAGAAACACTCTCTGTAAATAGAAAAATAGAGAGTAATAGTACTGCATTTTGTAATAGAGAGAGGAGAAATGGGTCTCACCGGAGTAACATTGTTGGTCACTCTCATGGTGGTGGCCGCCGTTACTTTGCCGGCAAATGCCTGCCTGCCGGCGGACCAAGCAGCACTGATGGATATCAAAGCAGCTCTTAAGGAGCCATATTTGGGCATTTTCAACACATGGACTGGCAGCAACTGTTGCCAGGGCTGGTATGGTGTTAGCTGTGACCCGACTACGCAACGGGTTGCCGACATTGTTCTTCGGGGAGAATCCGAAGATCCGATTTACGAGAAAGCCGGCCGGTCTGGTTACATGACCGGTTCACTCTCCCCTTCTCTCTGCAAACTCGACAAGCTCACTACACTCATCGTCGCCGACTGGAAAGATATCTCCGGCGAAATTCCGGCTTGTGTCACTTCATTACCAGATCTCCGTATCCTTGAGCTCATCGGCAACAAAATCACCGGTCAAATCCCGGAAAACATCGGTCAGCTGAGTAAACTCACTGTTCTAAACCTCGCCGACAATAAAATCTGCGGTTCAATCCCCGCCTCCATTGTCAACCTCGGAAAACTAAAGCACCTCGAACTCAGCAACAATCAACTCACCGGCGAAATCCCGTCCGATATCGGAAAACTCAGAATGATGAGCCGAGCACTACTCAACAAGAACAAACTGACAGGTTCAATCCCTAACTCAATCACTCAACTTCGCCGGTTAGCCGATCTAGATCTGTCAATGAATCAAATCACCGGTTCACTCCCGGCTCAGCTCGGTTCAATGCCGGTTCTCTCAACTCTAAACCTCGATTCCAACCAAATCTCCAGTTCAATCCCCACTAATCTACTTAGCAACAGCGGATTAAACATCTTAAACTTAAGCAGAAACTCATTAGAAGGAGAATTACCAGATGTGTTTTGCTCAAAAACGTACTTCACCCATCTGGATTTATCATACAATAATCTTCGAGGTTCAGTTCCAAAATCATTATCATCAGCTAAGTACATTGGCCATTTGGATTTAAGCCATAATCACCTTTGTGGCCCGATTCCAAACGGGTCACCCTTCGATCATCTAGAAGCTTCTTCTTTCTCTAACAACGATTGTTTGTGTGGATCGCCATTACGTACTTGTTAATTCTTTTTTGTTTACTTACTAAGTTTGTAATTAATCGAAATTATCGGTTGATTACGCATAAATGGATGTGTAATTGTGTATTATGTTGTTATGATTAAAAAAATATTCTTAGCTTAATTATTATTATTATTGCTAAGCAATATGATGGATTATGCGGTTCTATCATGCATGCACGTGAAAATGCGTGACAGTTTACAAGAAAAATTATTGAAGAAATTGTGTGCTATTATTATTAGTAAATTGTAATATAATAAATCCCACATACTTTTGTTTACTCAATTTATTCTTTTTTCGTGTTTCCTTTTTTTACTTTTAGTTCGAGTATTGTTTTTTTTTTAACCAAATATATTGCACACAAACAAACATTCATAAAGAGTAATTAACACCATGTAGAAGGGTTGTTGCTTGTTGTATTCTAATGTATTGTATTATTAGTTTAAATATCATATTTATTTTAATTGTTAATTAAATTTTATTTTATTATAGCATTTAAATTCATTGTTAGGTAATGAGGAAAAGTTTATTTTGTGTAACCACCCATTTCGGTAATCACATTGTTACCGTGATATTTTTTTTCTCATTTTGTCTTTATTTATTATTTAATAATTCTATTTTATTTTTTATCATACTCTTTTTTATAGTAACTCTATCATGTACCTTAATTTTCATGTAAGTTCATCATTCAAATTATTGATGTGTGATATTAATGATAGAGAACAGTATAATCTCTCTAAACTCTTTTTTATAGTAACTCTATCATGTACCTTAATTTTCATGTAAGTTCATCATTCAAATTATTGATGTGTGATATTAATGATAGAGAACAGTATAATCTCTCTAAACTTTATACAATATTTATTAAAATGATACAATACAATTTAATATAATACAATAATACATTTATGAAGCAATATGTAACCATCATTAATAACGTGAGAATATTGATATGACCTAGCGTTCGGTTCGAAAGACATGATTTTCAGTATGTCTCCAGATAGGGCTCCCACTAGTCCGGCCGCCTTCCAATTCTCATGTCTTAAGCACGAGAGATTTCTTCCGTTTCATCGATTTTGTCCGGATCCCACCTTTCTTCCGAAAAAAGGGAAGGAGAAGGATCTTCTTCAGTGGATCCCTCTTGTTCCTAGTGGTTAATGTCTTAATGAAATGATTGAAAACCCTGAATCTCAAGTTCCAAACTAAGCGAAGATAAAAAATAGTCGATAACTCTTTACCATTGTCTTAATTTTAGTGAATAGAGTCCCAATAGGGCCAAATATCCTATTTTGTGCGAATATCTCCAATTTATGCGCTTACCTATGCACTGTTGGTCTGTGAAAAACTTGATTTGATGGGTTATCAATAATTCAGTAATGGACAAAAGAGCAGGGGAAAAAAGATGGGAAATTTCAGGTAATTTGAAAGGAAATGTTAATTTTAGTCAAATGAGTTAATGATTTAAATGATATAATTGATTAATTGAAAAAATTGTATAAAGTGTTTGCTCAAATGCATTGCTACGTCGGTAAGGATTGGTGGGTGGGTGACCCTCATCAATTAATCCACTCTATTCATTAAACAATTTTGTGCTTTGTATTCACATCAATATGAGATTTTTTAGAATAAGATATTGGTGATTGAACTCATAATGAAAATGTTTTTTACCAAGGTCAACTATGTTTACATAAGTAAAATTCTTTCCGTTATTCAATCATTTCAAATTTAGAGTTATTCTTTGGAAAATAATTAATCTCAATCATGTTATTTTTTTTATTAAAGCAGAGAATTGAACTAAAATTCTCTTTCTTTGTCATCAATCAAGTCATTTTTTATTGTACATCTTGACTAATTTCATAAAGTATTTATTAGTTTTTCAATTTGAATATAGTAATGATCAGTGTTTTAAAAGGTGGGGGCGTGAGGCGAGACGTTTTATACAATACAGGGCAAGGTGTAAGTCCCATGGATTTACGGGGCGTAGTCTCATGTATATTCAGTTTTATAGTTTTATTATTAATAAAATAAGCAAAAGTAAACCTTTCAATGTTTATGATTTTTATTTGAGATATGTATTAATAATTAATAATGAAGAAAAAAGTATTATAATTACTATTTGAGAAATATCATTACACCAATAATAAAAATATAATTTAAAGCAAAAAAAAAAAATTAATAACGCCCGGTACGTTTTTACACCCAAGACTTACGTTTTTATGCTTGGGGCTTTACGCTTCAAATTTTAAGACTTACGCCTTATGGATCTACGACTTTAATTTATGCCCCGGAGCGTTTTTGAAACGCCCTGCCCCGAGACTTGCCCTGAAAATTGCCCCAAAAACGTTTTTGAAAACACTATAATGATCACTAAATCCTCTAAAATCTTTATAAACCTTGAACGTTGAGAAGTAAAAAAGTTAACGTTGGTTTGGTTATAACATAATCAGTAACTTAATGGCACATTCCAAGTTAGGACAATATAACCCCAACTTATATTGATTATACTCTAATTCTAAATCAGTTGAAATCGATTATATGAATTAGTACTATCGATATTAATACATATATAAGCCTGTTAAAGTTTTTTTTTAATGTAAAATCGACACATAAATTGAAACAGAATAGTTTTTTTTGAATGAGGAAACATTGAGAGTGAAGAATTAGGTACATCACATGCTAAAGAAATTGAGAGTACAATAAATTTGGGAGAACTGAGGTCAAGTAGTTGATGAGCAAATGCATGTCCCCAAACCCATGTGACTCACTTTCCCACACTATATATCAAACTATATTACACTAAGGGTCCACTCACTAAATACCCTAAAACTTTATAATATATGGTTCACAATAGCCAATAAAAAGTTAGTGTACTATACTCCTTTTTTAGTCATTAGGAACATCGGGACGAAGATAATAATTTCGAAACAAAATTTATAATCAATTTTAATTTATATTTAGTTAGAAATACTTGCTAATTTTAATATTATTTTATCTCATCTAGTGTATTAAACATCTTCAAAAGACACATTTATCTAAATAGAATATATTTTTGTAATGAGCAGAACTTAAAATGATGGTGTCAATGCATAATTAATACTACAAGTTTCTTGGTTGCACCTACTTTTTTACATAAATGAAAAGATCGGTCACAGTTGTGGAACATTTAAGACACAATACGATAATAAATTCTCTGGTCACTTAACTTTTTTTTTTATCACTTTATTTCAGCAACACAAGTTATACAAATCTCAAACCTCACGCGATTGGTGTACCCTTTAGTACTATTACACTCCCTCCGACCTCCGTCCCTAATTACTTATTCACTTTTTTTAGGCATAATACATAAACATGACCCTTAACTTGGTTTCAACGGATAACTATGCCCTCCAACTTTGAGTGTGCACAAGTAGGCACTTGAACAAGTAGACACACGTGTCCTATATGACATAATACACATAAGACGCCACGTAAGACACAAAATTGCTATGTAGGGTGTCATGTAGGACGGATGTGTCTATTTGTTCAATTTTATACATGTTTAATTGCCTACAGTGCACACTCAAAGTTAAAGGTCATAATTGTCAGTTGAAGCCCAGTTAAGGGTCATGTTTATGTATTACTCCCTCCGTCCCTAATTACTTGTCCACTTTTAAATTGACACACCTATTAAGAAAATAATTTATTGACATAGTGATTTTACCATTTTATCCCTATTAATTATGAACTGGATGAATTAAAAACTTAAGATTAATTTTCAAGAAGTTCTACATTTTTCAAAGAAATTAATTGAGAATATAATATGTAAAAAATTATCCTTTCTTGATTTGTTAAAATGGACAAGTAATTAGGAACAATTAAAAAAGGAAATGTGGACAAGTAATTAGGGACATAGGGAGTATGTCTTTGTTTAGTTGTCCCTAATTACTTGTCCATAAATGAAAAGATCGGTCACAATTGTGGAACATTTAAGACACAATACGATACTCCCTCCGTTCAAAAAAGAATGACCTCATTTCCTTTTTAGTCTGTTTAAAAAAGAATGAACTCTTTTCTTTTTTGTTAACATTTTAATTTCAACTTTCCACGTGACATGTTTAAAGCCACAAGATTAAAGGGCAATTTAGTACATTTGACATAACTTTAATTTGGGACCACAAGATTCAAAAGTCTTCTTTATTTTCTAAAACTTCGCGTCAAGTTAAACCAGGTCTGATCACTTAACTTTTTTTATCACTTTATTTCAGCAACACATGTTATACAAATCCCAAAGAGAGTATTTTGCAGTACTTTTCAGACAAATCTTAACGTAAAAAATAAAGTTATTATTACACGATTAAAAAGTTATGAGTTTAAATTATAAAATAAACTTTTTGTAAAAAAAACAGATTACAGACGTTAGATTCTTGTGATTTATTCTTTTCCGAATCTCACACGTAACAAGAGTTTATTGGGTTGCCTTCTAGTATTGTAGCATTTTGTATTCTTCGATTTATTAATAAATTTTAATTTTAATCATTATGATTTATGATATATGACTTTATATTTTAACTTTTAATTGACTAAAATGTATTTTTGATCTTTTTATGTAGAAAATATCTATATTCGATCTTTTTTTTTAGAAGTATATTACTTTCCAATATGGATTAGCAATATAACATTAACATAATACATTGATAGTTAAACCACAAAATAGTTAATAAATTTGAAAATTAGTGAATATTCATAAGCAAAGGAATAAGAAAATGCACATCTCAAGCAATTAAAGGTTTAATATATTTAATCATATCTCACAAAGACTAACTTAAATTTATTAATAACTAAGAGACCAGAAGTACTATTATCCAATAACAAAATTTAAAAAAAAATGAAAATGGGAGAAAATTGAACATTTTAGTTTCTTTTAGATGATTTTCTATCTTCTTAAAAAGATTATTTTTAAAAAAAAGAGATGGTGGTCACCTCACACATTAAAGAGCTTCATTTGTGTCACAGTGTAAGTGTGATTGTGCATGTACGAGTAGAGGTGTACAAGTCAAATTGAACCGACGAACCAAATCAAATCGATTTATGGTTTGGTTTGGCGGTTGAAAAAAAAAATCGACCACTCTTAATTTGATTTGGTATTAAAAGAAAAAAAGTCAAACTGAACCCAAACCAAACCGACAATATATATATATATTTATTTATTTATTTATTTATTTTATTTATAAATCTGATTCTAAACCAAAAGTATATAGAAAATTATAGTTTTCAATGTTTATATATTTTATTTCAAATTTGGGCTTGTAAAATTTGTAAATATTTTATTTTGTATTAAGATCCAAAGTTACAATTATATTGTTATAGTTTTTCAAATTCGAAGTTAACAATTTACTTTGTAAATATTTTATTTTGTATTCAGTTTGCCTCTAGCCTTTAATCTTATTAATTTAACATAATGAACGTTGATGTTTCAAAAAAAAATATTTTGTACTCATGTGAATTTTACCGTCTTTTTGAAAATTTCTATTCATTTAACATTTTTTAAGTTTAGCTTATCACACAGGTAAGTGAAAATATATTTGATCTCTTTTTCAAATACCGTATAGTTGTAAAAAACCGAAAACTCCCGAAAAAACCGACTAAAATCGAAACCGAAAAAACTGATTTTATGTGGTTTGATTTGGTTTTTAGATTTAATAAACCGACATAATTGATTTATATTTTTTTTAATGAAAAACCAAATCAAATCGACCTATGTACACCCCTATGTACAAGTAGAGAGTAGATAATTTCAGAGCAAATGACGTAAATGGTCCCTAAACTATCCTAGTAGGTTTAAAATAGTCCCTTAACTATACAGTTGACGGATATGATCCTTTAACTATCCACCCTTTTGTCAAGTTTGGTTTCTATCCACTTTTTAAAAAAACTGTTAGTTAACACCGTTAAGTCAATCTGTTAAGTCAATCGATTTAGGAGCATATCCAATTGATCATAAGCAAAATAACCACACGAAAAGCATAAAGTTGTTAATGCCCATTGCCATGTATGTTCAACATGTTGTGAATGTTCAAACATCTGATTTACATTTACCCCATTTGAAATCATCGACTGATTGACCAAAATAAAGAGCACTGAAGCAGATGTAGTGGATGAATGGAGGAGAGATACACAAGTGTTGACAAATAGGGGATCGCAATTTCACAGCAATTTGGGGATGACCCAATTGGCCGATTGGTAGAAAATGAAACCCAGAACGATTGGGAACAGTTCCTTGCGCTTGTTAATTAGTATTTCCCACAAAATTGAGAAAACCCAAATGAGCAGTGTGGCCATGAAAAATGCTCCAGTTCTAGTTTCTTGGTTAAACCCACTTCCCATCGCCATGGATTTTATCGAATTTGGTGCTTTATTTGTCTCAATCTTTCGTTTTGGTTCTTCTTCTTCTTAATTGTCTTATCCTCACAGAAAAGCAAGAAACAAAGGCGTGGAGAGATCAGTATCATTAACTCATATTCTTCTTTCCGTTGGGATTTACACTTTGTTTGGATGGTTGTATACCGACAGATTGACTTAACGGTGTTAACTAACGATTCTTTAAAAAAGTGGATGAAAACCAAACTTAACAAAAGGGTGGATAGTTAAAGGATCATATTCGTCAACTGTATAGTTAAGGGACAATTTTAGACCTACTAGGATAGTTTAGAGACCATTTATGTCATCTGCTCGATAATTTCACACTTTGGAGGAGTGGTGGGGGCACCATTACTACCTTAGATTAAATCAGATTGTCACATGGGTTAACTACCACATAATCAAATCAAGCCTGGTTGTAATAGTAATTTATTATAAACAGTTTGATTTTCTTTAGAATGATCGATTTTTCAAATTACATTTTACTATATAATAGTCATATTAAATGTTGTGTAGTATAATATTTTGTGAAAAGTATATATTTGAGTATTTATAATAATTATCCTTAAAATTATGTATAGTAAATTTTATCAAATATAAATATCTAAAAGGAAAAATTTGTATTCAATGATATCCATCATATATGACCATAATTTCACAAGAAACGGCTAATGGCATTTTCCTTTTCTACATGCGTACTTTTTTTTGTTTGTTTAAATTGGTTAACAAATATATTCCTTCTTTTTGATATACGAAATCATTAAATTATTTCTTTATTTATGCTATCAAATATCTTTGTAGTGGCAATGTATCTCTGAAAGTTTTATGAATAGTATATAGAGTTGTTATATATGTATATTGACATTTAACATTTAGTCATTTAATTGTTATAAACAAAACCATGTAAATTTATCTTTTTATACCTTTTATGTTATAAACAAAATAGAATACTTGTTAAATTTAAAATATCCATTGATTTTCATATTTCGTTAATCTTGATTGTTTTGTTACACATTTACATAAATTTATTAGCTTTTGCTCAAATCAAGTATAAACATTTACAAATATTTCACTATGGACTCAATTATACCGTAATAACTTGAGATGTTTGTAGCAATCCATAAACTTTAAAGGGAAAATTGTATGAAATAACAAACTATTAATTCAAAATAAATGTTATAACCGCAGTTTCATTTAATTTTAATTCGTAGCAAACACTTTGTCATTCACCTCTCTCCCCAAAAATCTCGCTCGCCACTCTCCCTCGCCTCTCTCACTTTATACAAACACAAATGTATAAATTGCGTTTGTGTTTGTATAAAGCGAGAGAAAACTGTATACACATACTTATTTCTTTGTCCTATACACTTATAATTATACAATACAAATCTTCTCCTGACCGGTTCTCTTTTGCCTTTCTCTCTTTCTCGCTTTATACAAAAACAAATTATACAAAATACAATATTTGTATTTGTATAAAGCGAGAGAGATTTGTATACAAAAATACAGTTACATATACATATACAGATTTATATTTAAAAACATATAATACACATATACATATACGACTGAAAATTCCAACAAAAAAACATATACTTATACAACTTACGGACTTAAAGTCAAGTCAGTTTCTTATTTGTATACATATTCCAAATATATACTTATACAATTGGGATGAATACCGAAATATAAAGATTAATAGCTATAGCAAACATAAAATTTGTTATGGAGCGCAATTATGCAAACTATAGATATAGCATACAAATATAATTTTTATGTTCGCTAAACCTAAAATTTACTTTTTTTTTCTCTTGCAGCAGCATGTTTATTGCTATGAATTCGTATTAAATCATGTAACAGCAGTGTTCCAATTTCTTGTCTTTAATTTATTGGGTTCATTATCTATGAAGGGAAATTAAGAGAATGGATTTTCTGTTGGTTAACTGGAATACCTAGCAGTGTAGCTGCTAGCCTGATACATATGCATATATACGAGCTAGTGATTATTATTTTTTTGACGACTATAATATCTGGGTCAGTTTTTGCACATCTTGACTAATTTCACGGGATATTTTTTTTATGACTGTAATGTTTGAGTCAGTTTTTGTGCATCTCGACTAATTCCATATCTACCACCAAGCACTAGATAACTCTGTCCATTAGGCTAGGACATACAAGCTAGTGGCTTTAATTGGGTAAAATCTTCTATTCACCTCGAAGAGTACATATTTTACCATGTGTTTTGCACTTACGAAGTTCTAAAGAGACATTTTCTTTGGCTTAATACATTGTCAATTAATTGCCAGCTTAATTTTAAGTGGGAACTTGGAGTTTTAACGGGTGGAGGGTAATTATGATTGTAGTTAGGGGCAAGCGTATCAATGTTGAAAAAGCATAACGGAGGATAAATATAACTTCTTCTTTTTATAGTACATGGACAAATACGACTCTTTTTGTTGTGTTTTTTCTACTTATGTTGTAAAAACATAAATTTCTCTTAAAAAAACATAAATTTCTCTTAAAACTAATGAAAGAAACAAATGACATATAGCAAATGCCTCTCAAGGTATAGCAAGTGTAGCATTAACAAGCAAGCTAACTTGTTTCCTATCTTAATTACTCGTAGGTCATAATGCAAGTCACAGAGTATGTTGGGTAAGTCCTAATGTATGTTGGGTAATGCCAACATCCTGCCTATGGCAAGGCCCACGAGAGGCTAGGTGGCCTGACCGGAGTCATGATGGAATATGGAGTTTGCTTGGTAGACTTAATTAAGAAATAAAGTTGTATTTTTGCTATCAGCTGTAACTTTGGCATTGATATTAAGCGTTTGATCCTAAGAATGTACAGCTAAACACCTTTGCTAGTAAACTCACACCAAAAAAGAGATGCAATTAATTAGTTCCAAGCACCTTTCTTCATAATTTTATTTTCCAGCCGTTCAAGTGTGACAAGTTTACAAGCATGTGTGGTTGTATTGTCACACAAGTACGCAAAATATTGTTTCTTATGCATATGAGGCAACTTGATCAACAAAATATATCATTAGCATTTAGCCACATGAATTGGACAAGTTTGACATGTCAAAACCATTAAATCAACCCCTACCAAGATCCAAAAAATCATAACGCTACTAGTCGATGCTTTGCACATCAAATTTCTTCAATAGTTTCTTGTTTATGCATTGAATGGTCGGATCATAGAGACAAATTAGAACTGGAAAGAGAGCATTACTTGCAATAGAAAACAGTGCAGTTTTTGCACTGGATTTACATTAGTTCCTTTAACGCCAAAACAAAATGCAGCACGAGTTATACTAGTTCACAATTTCTACTTTAAACTTTAAAGGGCCTAAAAGTGATTGGATCATATCAACAAATTACAACTGGGAAGAGAGTATTGAAACCTATGTAGGTTTTGCACTAGCCTTGCATCAGTCTCTTTATGGTTACAAAAGAATTGCAGAAAGAGTTTCACTAGATCACAAATTTCTACTGTGGATGGCCTGAAAAGAATTCTTTCCAAGGAGCTCACATTTCAGATTCAAACCCAATATTCCAAAATCCTTCAGGAGTTAAAGGAGGTGCATATCTGTATCGATGCCTTGAAACTCCATCATGATGCTCACACCGTAGGTTTTGCCTATTACCATTGGACTCCTTATCTTCACCAGGAAGAACAGCATCATAAAACTTTTTACATTGCAGGCATTCGACCCCTTTTAAATTTTCTCGTTCAGCTTTCTTTCTCACAGGTTCAATGTATTTGTAGCCTGTCGCACCAGACCTGGCCGGAGGCAGCATTTCCTGCTTTTTAGGGTCATTATCAATATTCATGTCCTGAGTCTCATCATCTGAGTCTTCAATTTTTTTGTCTTTTGAATTTGGATTCGCGTGATTCTGAACCTCATCCTTCATCACCTTTCCTAAGTTTCCTCTGATATTCTCCAGGGGAGTATCGAGAAACTCATCATGAGGATCAGGTCCAACTCGACTCTGATGCGATCTGGTATCCCTCCAATAAGAAAGAGGACGCTTTGTACCAGCTGTTGGGCAAGATTTGACATTGGCTGGAATGTTAGGTGCAACAAAAGCACTTGAAGTTGGAGGTGAGATGGAGTTGGATCTTGGGATCAGGCTAGCTCCTTGGTCATCGTCCAGGACTTCCTGTTTGTCTTCTTGCTTAATTACTTTGCAGGCAAAACCAGAAGCCTGAGGAACTTTATTTTCAACCTCTAATAAAGATGGAATAAGTTGTTAGACAATCTCAATTCCTTTTCCTATTCATTTGGAAATTAAATTCCACTTAGGATTTGCTAAAACAGTGAGCTTCCTTGTGCAGAGGCATATATTCCAAAGTAGATAAACAGGAAGAAGGAAAAAGAATTGAGCAATTATTAGGTGATTGATTAACATGCTTCTTTTTTGGGAGGAATCAAATAGAAGTCCCATAGACAAGGTATGACATTAGACAATGTATGCATCATGTTGAATAGTGTAGAAATAGCAATAAGTCGCAAGCATTCTAGAGGATTAAAACTTACCACGTGAAGTTAGAGGACTCTGGTCAGTCTGTAATGCACTGTGTTCTAATAATTTGCTTTGTAGGTGCATGTTCTCTGAAGTAAGACCATATCTTGCACATAGAAAGTTGTACTGTGATTTCAGACTTTTATAAGAAGCAATCATATCCTTTCTTCTCTTCTTCTCAGCCAACAACTCAGATTCTTTTGCTTGAATCAGATGAAGTAACTTCCCATGTAATTCCATTCCCTTAGTGGAATCCTTGCCTCTCTCTCTCAGATTTGTCTGAAGCTTATCAATCTTTTCCTCTGATTCTCTCAATTTGGCTAGTACCTTTTTGTTCTCCTTCTCAAGCTCTTCCAACTCCTGCCCTGTCTTTGACCTTTCTAAAGAATACAAATCTATCTGTTGACGAAATTGATCATGCAACTTCCTTCCTTCCTCTACTTCAGACTTTTTATTCATGAGTTCTTTCTGCAGATCATAAACATCAGTTTCCAGATTCTTTACTTTGGTCATAAGTGGTTGTTTCTCATTCTTGTATTGATTCAACAAATCATCATTCTTCATGATTTCTGCATCCAGCAACTGAACTTTACTTGGTAAATTTTCTTGCATTTTCTGTCCTTTTTCTACAGCAGCTGTCTTCTCTCTAAGCTCCTCGTTGAGTTCATCTACTCTTCTTCGTGTAGTTTCAAGCTCAGCAAGAAGTTTGGCTGTCTTCTGTTCATATTCTTTTAGTTGTTTTTCTTTATATGCTGCTGAAGAAGTTTTTGAATGAGCCAATTGGACAAGCTTATTGTGCAACTCTAGTCCACCGTCAACTTCTATCGAGTTATTCTTGAGTTCTATCTGCAACCTGCCAACTTCAAGCTCTGAACTCTGTTGTTTTTTCACTAGCAGGAAAACTCTATCTTCAAGTTCTCTCTGTGGGTTCTCATACTTGCAAACAAGTGGGGCACTTGTTTCAAGAAGAATACATGATCTCCGGATTGTTTCCCTTAAATCGTTTATTTCACTAGTTCTCTGTTTCAACTCATTTTGAAGCTCCTTAACATGATTAGCTGAGGACAATTCAGAATCCAACAGCTTTGAATTCTCCATTTTCAGGGATTGGTTTTCTTGAAGAACCTTCTGCTTTTCAAATTGCATCTTTTCCATCTGTAGAAGCAGATCTTTTTCCTTTTCTTTCCATGAAGTTTCAGCAGCGCTTCTTGCCTCAGAATATATTTGCTTAAAATTAGACTGGAAGTTTGGGAAGAGTTTACTACAGAAAATATACTCTATCTGAGAAATCCTATCTTTTGCTTCCTCGATAGTGGCAACAAGAATGGTACTAAGTCCAGAAACATACTTTGCATCAGCATTATCAGCAGAATATGCTGTCTGCAGAGATTGTTGTGGGTGGTTTGCCATATCTGAAAATAAAATACACAAAATGAAAATCTGACATCGCTATTGTAATTCAACAGCCAAAGATCCCAATTACATTGTAAAGAACTTTCCTCGCGGAGCTTTACTGGAGCAGCAAAATACTTTATTTTCTTATCAATCAGTATGTAAATTCCAAGAATTATCTGTAAAACAATTTGTAACAATATAATTTCAAGACTTCCTCCAACCATTAGATTTCCCGGTATTGATCTATATTATAAAGGGAGCTCCACAAAGATGTTGTGTCTATGATTGGAAAACAGCTTTCTGAAAAACATTTTCCATAAGGAAGTTATTTTCTGGTATTTTTGTTGTTGGAAATTATATTTTCCAAGGAAACATTTTCCGTCAAAAGGGGGAAATGACTTCCATTACCTATGAATGGAAATCATTTCCATGTAATATCCCTACTCTTACTTCATATAGCTTTCTCCAAACAACATTTAGACATTATCATAATCTTCAATACTCATAAAATTTCACCAAAACACTGTCCAATTTGCTGATAATATTATCAACCTCTGGTAATTATTTCCGATAAATATCTTTTTAATCACCAATCAAACACTAAAAATAAGTGAGAAAAACACTTCTTTTTTAGGAAAACTGTTTTCCCCCTTCATGCCAAAAGTATTCTTTGCTTCATTAAGGACATACTTTATTTGATGTATCAAAAAGTGCAAGGTTGAATTTTATTGCTTCAAGTTATATCCTATCATGCTAGCATCTGATTAACATGCATAGTTATAAATGCTGATAAAATGACGAGAACAAAAGCCCAATGAACACAAGTAATTATGATAATTGTATTGTATGGAGAGGCTTCCTTAACAAAATCTTGTGATTTTCAAGGCTCAAATGGGTAGCTAGTCATATAATCCTTGTAAGATAACAAGTCATTACATTTTTGGCAAAATTTCGATAAGCAACTGGAAACTGGCCAAACAAATATTGAAGCAGAAATTTCAGTTTCTAGAGAAGTCACACAATTACGATAAATATTCCGCTTGGTATATAATCCAGCAATGAAAATTATTCCATTTTTACGCCATTATTCTACTTTACCTTTCTCCAGCAGCAATTTCAGAAAATTGATTCTATTATCACATTGAGCAAATTAAAGTTGAGGATTGATTTAGCAGTAGAAGAAAACACATCAATTGTACTTCAATTCACAGATCGGATTTTACCATCTCAGCTCAAAAATGAACTAGGGCTTTTCTCGGTAATCTACAGAACAAGAGATAAACAGATAGATAAAGAGAGGAACTTACACCTCGGATTCGACGGAAAAGGAGATCGCCTATTATTTCGCCGGAGAGCGACGGGGCTGATTAATGTCGCAACCTTGGGAGCGTGGCGTCCGCTTGCCGGAGAAGACCAGTTTTGAGTAAAATTTTGAAATTGGAGCGGGAATTGATATTTTGGGTTCGATTTTGGAGCCTATTTGTTGTCCTTCTCCCTCCAACCCGATCTATGGATATGAAATCTGTTGGGCCTAATGTAATCAATTGAGTAAAATTAAGGGGAAAATTCATAAATTACTACTACTAAGTGAAATATAATGGGCTTCCTAAACTAGAGTTTACCTATTTACGCAATATAGCTATAGTTTAAATAGCTAAAACAAATCTCATTAGTATATTTCAATTTTTTTTAATTAATTATACAAAATGGTGTTAAAATTTAGTTAACTAAATATGCTGCAATTTTTGGTGTAATTATGAAAAAGGATCCTTTAAATAAAGGTTATTGAATCTAATTAGAATATCTTACCAGATAAGTCTTCTTCTTCAAGTAAAATCTCTAAACAAAATCAAAATTCAAAATTCAATATTTTAGATTCTCCCTCCTAATCGTGTATATCCAAAGCAATTTCAATTTCAAATTGAACGTCTTGTATTTCACTATATTAGTTTGAATTGTATAGTTATGAATTAATAATAAAAAAAATGATTTTAAGTGTATTAAATATTGTATATGAAGTAGTTGATTGATTTGTATAGTTCGATTATGATTACTTCACGATTATGATGAAAATGCATAGTGGTTTGTGTGCAGTATTGTATACGTGTATAATTAGTATAGATCCAGATTAAGTTTATTTTTTATGTATTTGTATATGTTTCTCAATGTATTATATATTATATAGTTTGTATATACTTTGTTATATATTTTAAGACAACAAATATGTATATTTGAGTTAATATTCGTATTGACTTATATCAATATGTATATTTGAATAATATTCGTATTTGACTTATATTAATATGTATATGTCATGGATTGAATTGTATGTTAGATAATTTCTATATTTAATTTTGTATAATTGTTGACTTATACATTTGTGTCTTGATATTATGTAATATGTACAACTAAGGCATATAATACAATGATTATATACAAACAACCTATTGAACTTAAATATACGTATACAAATAAAAATAACATAAAAAGAAAAATTAAAAATACCTCAACATTATCTTCCTCTCGTTTGTTATTAATTATGTAGCATGTACAATTAACTAAAAGTACAACCAATTCATTATTATCTCATATACAACTTAAATCATACATATACAAATCGAGAAAAACTAAAACAAGGCTATACTTCAAAATCTTTTGCTTCTAGAAGATGTTTCTTATACTCTTTTTTTCCAAGAATCACCAAGTCGGAATTATTAATTCTTTTTTCCTCTTCTCTTTTTTTTCTTCTTTGGAGCTTTTAACACAGATTTGTTGCATCATAATGAGGTTATTGTGAAACTTAAATCTAGTCTCCTTCTCTCCTATATTTGAATTAATGGTTTTAGATTTGGTAATGGAACTTGCAATTCCTTCAAAATCTTGAGTTAATCCCAACGAAAATTGTGGAGATTGTTCCTCCATGATTAGAACGATGGAACCGAACGGATTCGAGATTTTGACTGTGAAACAATGAAAAAATTGAAAAATTATACAAATAAAAAAAATTAAAAAAGTTAAGAAAAGAAGAAGAGATTACCTGGACTGGATTTGGACAAGTAGGAAGTTGATTCAAAATTTTCAAAAATTGAATTTTGAACCAGTTGAGAGATTTATGGGGTAGTGAGCGGATTAAGGAGAAAATTAGTGAGTGAGTTAGAGAGAGGTTATGAATAGATTTGTATAAAAGGGATAATGAGATTCTACACGATACCATTCAAATAGGTGGACCCCACATAACCATTTCTTAAACAATACCCAATTTCATATAATTAATTAAAATTAGGGAAAATTAGCAAACTAGTCAAACTTCCTAACATAATTATTAAAAACATTTACACTTTAAAATAATTATTGAAAAATGTCAATATGTCAATATTTTAGCAAATAAATGTATCCAATTGATTTTATTTCCTTTTATTTCTCAAATCAGGCCCTACATTCATCTAATTTTACTCCTTATACGTGAAAATGAAGAAAAAAAATCTCATTACCCACTTTCCCCTCTTTCTAGGTTTTTACCCCAATTTCTTCCTTTCTCTCTCTTGAGTTTTTTACCATTGTTCTCTCATTTTCTTGTCTCTCTCTTGAGTATTTCACCATTGTTCTCTTCTTTTCTTGTCTAAGAAAATCACCTCTTCTACTTTCCTCCAATTTGATCAAGAAATCTTATCCTTCAAAATATTTTTCACCCACGGATAAAGGTAATACATTGTCACCAAGTATTTTTTGATTTTCAAAATTGGGTGCTGAAAATTTCGAAAAACTTGTTGAAGACCAAGTTGAGGAAGAACAATTTCCTATTAGTTTGTTTTGTATTTATAGTTTTTTTTTTAGAATTTTGTATCCTTTCTCAATTAATATTCAAATATGTATGTATGCTATTAATATTTATATTTATTCAAAATCTCATGTTGCATAGATATGAATCTTATATTTGTTCCTAATTTGAATTCATCACAAATGTATGTCAACTAGATATGTTTTTATTTATAGGAAGAACAACATCCTATTGGTTTGTTTTAAAATTTTTGTATCATTTCTCAATTTGTATTCAAAATCGTATGTATGCTATTAATATTTGTATTCATTCAAAAATCATGTTGCATAGTTTATGAATCTGGTATTGTTCCTAATTTGTATACGTTCTAAAGGTATGTCAACTAGTTATGTATTTTATTTAAGAATGGTTGCAACAAATATTCACTTATTCTTTTTTAGTTTTACATTTTATTCTCACTTTTTCATCATACTGTTTTTTGTATTTTATATATTATTAGACAAAATACTACATAAAAGCTAGAATGAATACAAACACAAATAAAATACATATTGGAATAAATACGACTTAAGAAAGGATACAAGATTTTGAAGAAAAAAATACATGAATACAAATACGTTTCTCAAATAACTATAGATTCATTTGGCATTAACTATTGGAATGAATACAAACTAATAAAAAAAAATACAAGTTTCATTATACAAAATACAACATGAAAACTATAATGAATACAAATAATATACATATTGGAATGAATACGATTTAAAAAAGGTTACAAAATTCTGGAAAACAAAAATACATTGTGAAAAAGGCACACGTTTGAGTTTTCTTTAAAAAATGTAACTGATGAGAAAATTAAGTGATATTTACCTTTTTTTGAAATATTTTCTCCCATGATTTTCTCCATTCTGTTATTAAACAATTGTATTCTTTCAAATTAAACAAATTAAAAAATACATAATTAAGATATATAACAAACTAACATATTGACACTTTTAATAAATATTGAAAATGTGTCTAAGGGATCCTATTAAATGCTAAAATATTGACATTTTGAAAATTTTCCCTTAAAATTATAGTCGTTTAGCATAATTAACTACTAAATGTTAGCTTAGTTATATAATTTTCCCTAAAATTGAGTACAAATTAAACAAAATTCATTTCATTAAATTTCTTACACAAAAAATAACTCATATAAAAAAAAAAAAAAATCACAAATAGCAAACACAATAGATATGTATTATAAGGCTCTATAGTTATAATTTTGATAAATGCGCTTCATAACTATAGTTCTGTTTGCTATGGAGACTGC